AGGACCTTTGTTTTTTTTTTGTTTTTTTTTTTTTTTTTTAAACACCCCCTCTGGTGCTAGTGGTGCTAGTAAGAGCAGACACCACTAGCACTTGGGGAGAGGCTCCATCTATTGGTGGGGAGCATCACCTGCTGGAAAACGGGTCCAACGTCCATATATAGAATAATAGAATGAACTTGGAGGATAACAGGGAACAAGGGTCTGAATGACGCCTGTCAGGCTGCCAGCATTGATTACTCTGGAATCCAGAGGATTGATTAAGCAGGATGTTGGCAAGGGAAGAGAACCTCTTCGCCCTGTACCAGGCGGCGGGCGCCATATACCTACTACTACAAACAAGTTGAACTTCCTCCCTCCCCCCACCGACCCCCACCCACTCTGCCCCAGTCATTTTTACCACCCCATTCCAATTGTCAATCCCTTAAGGTAAGTGCTGGTCGTACGTTCTGAGGCTGTCTGATCCTGCCAAAGGGCTCCCTCCCCCATACCATTGCTCGTTCACTATGGCTAGAGCCTGTGGAGGGAAGGGGTTTGGAAAGTCCGAGGCAGGGCAAAATGGCACGCCCGGGTCCACTTTGGTCCACTCATGCAAACTAAGATCGTAATTTCTGCAATTTCCCCTTCCCCCTCCCCTCCCCTCCCTCCCCTCCCTCCCCTCCCTCCCATAAAACTTTTGCAATAGGATTCCCCAGGGCACCCCCCATCCGGTCATTGCTTGCAGCGTGCCTCACCAGGGCTATCTGGCTATTTTGCCAATTCAGCCTGTGGGACCAGGCTGTGGTCTGACCCCATTGGCCATGTGACCATTCAGTCCAGTCCAGATCTGCCTGGTACCACTGTTGGTACCAGGCCAGTCCAGTCCGATCCAGTCAGTCCGCTGGGGGTATACCCCAACTGCAGTCTGTTTTCAGCCTCATTCTTCGTTTGCACAGTTTGGAGTACGTGCGTGTTGAGTCTGCGTTGGAGTTGCGCTGTGTCTTCCAGCTCCATCTCCATCTCCCCCATCCTCATCCCTTCGTCTTGATTCTGACGGACCACCATCCTCGCTAGTCCGTCATACTGGTATGAGAGCAGGAACGGTCCCCGCTCCCACCCATCCCATCCCGCAAGTGTGAGAAAATGGTGTAATCCCAATAGCGGGATTTTGGGACTTTTTCGGAGCCAGAAGACGGGAAATAGTGGGAAAAGTTAGCAACGTTGAGTGACGCACACGTGGCGTGCAAACGCTGCCCCGCCCGACTCCCGAATTACATTATATCAGTATCGGGGAGTGCAGCTGTCAGCCAGCACGTGCGTAGCCACTGCCTTAACACACTGGCCAAACTCTATCCATATCCCTGTACTGCGGCACGTTGGTGTGGAAAAGTGTCATGCCAGCTATTTACACCCTCCCCCACCCGAGCGTTGGCGGTTGGGTCTCGATTGCGCATCAAACTTAGGGCGCTTCGTGCACGTGCGACGGGTAAGGGCGCTAGTTCACTCCACGTCACGGGCTGAAGTGGCTGGCAATCTCAATTGCGAAAAGAGAGTATATCGTTTTTTTCCGCGATTGCCACGTAAGGGTTTCATAGCCGTAGCTCTTGCTTACAGTTGCATCAGGCTGAGATGGGCTTGACCACGGTCATCGCCGCTGGACGCCTGAAACCGAGTGGAGTAAGCCCTTCGGTGTCAAGTGTGTGCGTAAATCTTTCTTCATCACCGGAAAAATTTTCTCCATAGCAGACGTTGTAGAAGATCTTGGATCGTGGTAATTGCATGGCCGTCTGACATTCAACCAGATATGCCGCACCAAGGGTTGACGAGGACCAAGGCAGGGCAAAGGGCACGAGAGACTAAGAGGACGACAATTTTCGGTGCGTCGAGACTTCCCAAGCCGCCATAGCCAATTCACTGGCAAGAAACGGAGGGTGATTCAAGGATTTAAGCAACACGCAAAAATAACGAAAACGAGCAAGTGACGGGTTGTGAGAGTGAGGGGCGAAGAGAGTTGGAAAGAGTGTTGTCCAGAAGAACCCGAAAGGCGAGAGATCGGGAGGGTTAAAAAAAAAAAAAAAAAAAACTTTGATGCATGCCAGAGAGACAAAGGGGTTCATTGACGGGGGATCGTCGGGGCGGAACAGTAACTGGCCCAGGGGAAAAAAAAAAAAAAAAAAAGGGAAAATCTCGCGAACGGAAGATGAGGGCAAGGAGGTATGGTGGGTGTCATTCTTAGAGGATGCGCGACTCAGCACCAGGGGGTTGGAGGAGTCCGCAGCACCCCGAGAACCCTTTCTCTCTCTCCCTCTCCCTCTCTCTCTCTCCCTCTCTCTCTCTCTCTTGCTAGCGTACTCGGGTTCGCTTGAAAAAACGCTTTATTGGTGAGGCGGGGAGGGTCTGGCCCAGTAAGGAGAAAACGAATTGCGGGGAAGGTTCGGAGAGGACAAGTGGCCTTTGAAGGAGCGAAGAAAAGGAGCGATAGAGAGAAAGTGGTATCACGGGGAAAGCAACAAGCCGCGACAAATAGGGGTGATCTCTTCTCTCTCCCTGCCCTGACCCTCTCCTCCTGACCCGTCACCTTCTCCCTGTCCACCCAGCCAGTCCAAAAAAAAATAAATAAAAAAAAATGCAGTTCAAAGGGGTGTACGGGGAAGGAACAAGGGGGGGAGCAAGGAAACGAGCAGGTTGGGAATCACCCGGGCTCGGAAAGCAACAGTGAAAGACAACAAGGAGAAGAGTCCACCCCATCATGGGTTAGTAAAGTGAGAAACACTGTACAGAACAAAACGTTGTGTGTGAAAAGACCCCCTGAAGGCGGTCAAACGAATGAGCTTCATGTTCCATTCCGAAACCTCTCCCCTACCCGTGCATATTTTCTCTCCTTTTTTTTGCCCCCATCAGAGAAAGGGGTGATAGACCAAGGGGAGCGAAAACAGATGGTTAAAACCTACCCGACTGACAAACTGGCCCACAGGGAGGGCAAACACGGAAGTAACTGGGTCTTTCATGATGATGATGCTTACAAATCCACTAACGATAAGATTAAGTGGATCTGCAAGGAGTTGGAAGGGAAGAAGGGGAGTCCGGAAGCGGTTCAAGAATTATTTCTAATACAACCAGTCTCCTCGACAACCTTCACGATTTTGAGTATGTTGGAGCAAGACAAGTAGCGTATGGATGGCTGGAAAAGGTTGAGGTGTGGTAGATCGGAAGTTCGCATATACCCCTGGCTCCCAAAAAAACTTGGTCCGGACAAGCAGCGGGGCCAAATGATGAGAGATTATTTTTGGATCGAACTGAGGCACATTCCAGTGGAGATACAAGCTACTTTTATTCATGACTGTGGCCAACGATACATTATAGTTGATTTCATAGACCCCCTCCCGGCCTATGTAGCCAAGAGAAATAACTATGTTATGTTGACCCTAGATCTACCACAGGATCAACCCTTCTCCCTCGACGACATTATTCCCTTCCGAGTGGGGGGGACGGTGTATCAAATGCATATGGCCCACAAGCTAAGACCATGGTGCTTCAGTGTCTGGCACTATGATTGATTTCATTGGCATGATGTGCCCGCTGTGAGGAATCTCTCAACTCGAAGCCGAATGGGCATGGACGCTGGCATGGACGCTGGCATGATGCTGGCATGGACGCTGGCATAACGCTGGCATGGACGCTGACATGACACTGGCATGGACGTTGGCATGACGATGGCATTGTGCGACGACGTGAGAGACGCCTTCCTGCTACTGGCGCCAGCTGTCATCTTGACATTTCGACCTTTCACAGACTATTGGCGGCGCTGGCATGACACTGGCATGGACGTTGGCATGACGATGGCAACGTGCGGCGATGTGAGAGACGCCTTCCTGCTACTGGCGCCAGCTGTCATCTTGACATTTCGACCTTTCACAGACTATTGGCGGCGCTGGCATGACACTGGCATGGACGTTGGCATGACGATGGCAACGTGCGGCGATGTGAGAGACGCCTTCCTGTTACTGGCGCTAGCTGTCATCTTGACATTCGACCTTTCGCAGATTATTGGCGGTCTTTATCATCGTTGAGGTATCTTGAATTTCGATCCTTGAAGAGTTTCCTACAGACTGGCCAGGGTTCATTTGAGAGGGTGAGTGTAGTGTAAACTAGGTTCATTGCAGAGGGTGGGTATAGCAGGTGGTGGCGATGGTGGTCTTAGGGTAGAGGGCGCATGCAGAGGTGGATGCTGGTGGTCGGCATTGATGTTGACGTCACGTACATTGGTTTTGAACTTCGATGTGATCCAGTCGCATGAACGCAGGCAGGATAGATATGCTGAGTAGAGTAGGCTGAGCGCTGGGCGCCAGTCAGTAGGAGCGACATTGGATACAGGGTTGGTGTGACCAGGGAGCGTCGGCATTGGCACTCGAGTTCATTATATTGCTTTTATTTGGATGGAATCTTGGTGCATTGTGATCTCTGCTTGGTGCATGACTATACATGTCCGATAATAATGCCTGACCCTCACAACAAACAACAGTGAACAACCTCACCGCGCTCCTGTCCTGCCTATATAGACCTAACAATAGGGTGGTGTATACACCACCCCTACCCACTCCCGAAAATCAAAGTCGAGTTTCCTTTTACTTTGTAGATACACACATACAGACATAATAATAAGAAAAATACAAAACACAAGAGAACGGGTGTGATTGGAATCAGACTCTTGTTGATTGGAATCAAACTCTTGTTCAACGGAAGTTAATACTTGACTCATCGTCAGGACTGGAAAACGGGCTCATGGGAAAAAGAGGGCAACAGGGGATGGGCCTCCCCTTCCACAGAAAACAAGGAACGCAGTTTCCACATCAATGGGTGCAGGTTGGTCGCAATAAATGGGGACAAGACAACCACACACCTTCGGCAACCAAATGGTGTCAGGTAGGGATGGATACACAAGCACGCAGGAATGACAAAAACGGGGGGATATACCGTCGGAGGAATGGAGGAACGTTGCCTTTGATGGGCTCCTACAGTCCATCAGCTGTGCCCACACCAAGGGCGAAGACGTTGACCCCTGGGGACCAGACATACCTTGCGAACCCCCTCCCACAGGCTCAGGCACAGAAGGGGAAAAGTCAACAGGGCAATAGAACTTGGGTGTCCGTGCTCAAACAAGCAGCTCCATGCCCACAGTCTGATCACGAGAACACAATCAACAAACCCCCAACAGCTCCATCCCTCATATCGCTATTGGCCCCGGTACCTCAGCGGTCTGGCACTGACCTGTTGTCTCTGAGCCCTATTCACCCTACGCGAAGCCACTTCATCCAGAAACCCCACGTTCAACCGGAGAAACTGTACCAGGAGTATGACGGCTATGTACGTCCACTCTACAAATTTCCCCATCAGGCGGTGGCAACAAGGAACAGGGTCTACTCATCCCACGCTGTCCAATTTCACTTCCAGGAACAACAGGCGACAGTGCTAAAGAACGACAGGATAAGATGGATATCTACTATAGTCAAGTCTATTAAGTTCTCTGCACAAGACGTAGCAGATCACTTCCTGATAGAATCGGCAGGGATATCCACCATCACTGTAATGGCCCTGTACCCAGGAGACCACACTCATCTCATGGGACTGAAAAATCTCAGATTCAGAGGCCAGCCTGTACATGTACAAAGATGGCAACCGGGTGAGCCCCTCACACCGGACGAACGCAGACAGCAAATCATGGATACCAACTTCTGGGTGGAGTTCCGATATGCCCCGCTTGCAATCCAAGGGGCTATAATCCAGGATCTGCAATCGATTGCTCCGATAAGAGGGTTTGTTCATGAACTTCCATCCTTTTTGGAGAAAAGAGATGATACACTGCTGGTGGCAGTAGACTGGGATGACTCGAGGACTTTTCCCATCCTCGACTCCTGGGGCTACATCTATGGCGGTAAGACAGTTTCGGTTCTGGTCAGCCATACCCAGGACCCGTGGTGCTACGCGTGCAAAGAAAAGGGTCACCTTTGCACTGATTCGCAATGCCCGAAAACAAGGAAGAAACCCATCAGAGGGATAGTGACCCCCCACCCGCACGAAACACAGTCATGGGTGCCGACCGAACAAGGGCTATCTGGATGGGTGTTTGCTCTCCAAGAGCCAGAGAAACCGGGTTATTGGGTCTAGAGAGGACAAGGAAAACCACAAAGGACACCGCACACCTTGGCCCGCGTAGTGACAAACCCGAGTCAACGCCCAGAACAGAATGGTGCCTCCGGTGAACCTCACCGTGATAGCCAGCTGGAGGGGCAGACTCGCCAAACACACCATGACCTGCCACCGGACACACAATTGCGGAGCAATGACCTGAGAGAAGAAGAGGAGGAACAAGAGGATCCCCCCTTGTTGAGGAGAAGCCGAAAGGACCGTGACAAGAAAGGAGTTTGTCAAAACAATAGAGATAACAGGGGGGGAAACAGGGGGCGAGACTCAGTACCTGACGGAGAGAAGGGTGCCCATCATGAGAATCGTGCCCACATTCCTGCTTCTCCGGACCCGGTGCAGGGAAGCAGGGTCGCTCTGGATCCCTTGCCTTCAGGACCGGTGACAAAAATACAAAAGGAGTCAACTGTGCAGGCAATACAAAAGGAGTCGGAGAGGTTAGAATTCACAGAACCGGTTGCGGAGGTCCCGGTTAGCATAAGGGAGACAGAACCCCAAATGAAGAAGGAAAGGCAACAGGTTCCGCCCAAACCCCCCCTCCAGGTAGTGGTCACAAGAGCAAAGGAATCGGATGTGTTGCAAGCCACAGTGGACGACCTGCACACAACTGAGGACAGGGAGAATCCACAAGACTCACCTTCACAGTTGGCAGCCCAGATAGAGGAAAAGGAAGCTGTGGAAGTAGAAACCATGGTGGTGGGACTGCCGGCAAGTGGACTCTCACATTTGCCACAAGTGGAGATGGAGAAATTACAAGATCCACCTAACCCTCCTGTGCAGTCGGCAACTCAGATAGAGGGGAAGGAAGCGGTGGAAGTAGAAATCAAGGTGGTGGGCCTGGCGGCGGAGGAACGACAAATCATTGAGGTGGGCCGGCCTGATGAGGGGGTCTCACTCCTCCAACCGGAGAAGGCGAGACTGCCACGGGGGGAGGAGGACAAAAGACAAGACTCGCTCAACTCCCCAGTGCAGTCCGAGGAGCAGACAACAGAGAAAGAGGTGGTTGTTATACGAGGCCTGCCTGCTGCATCTACACAGTATGCAGGGGATTAGGGACGGAATCCAGCTCCCCCCAACCTGCTAAAAGGAGGCCAAACATCAAAGTCCAGAATTAAAAAAAAGGAAATGAGAGCTCCTAGACTGCAGACAGACTCAAGACCTCTGCCGGAACAGTTGCACACTAAGCTGACAGAGGAGGGAGTGCGGGAAACTTAGACCATTGTGGTTGGCCTGCCTGGTGGGGCCCATGGGCTGCCAACGGAACAACAGCTGCCAGATCAGCCGACAGAGGAGGAAATGCCGGTAACTCATGCGATTGTGGTTGGCCTGCCTGTTGGGGGCCATGGGCTGCCAACGGAAAAAGAAGAAACAACCTCAGCAATAGACAGGACAGGACTGGAGGCGTGCCTATCACAAACCGGAAAGGTCGCAGAAGGAAAGACAGAAATGAGTCTATATTCCAAAAAATCAGAAGATGTGATATCCACGGATTGGTTGGGTCTGGACAGCACACATCATGAGAACGACATATCTGTCCGGACTAACCAGTCACCAAATCTGGTCACTGGGAAACAAGGTACGACACCTGCGGATCTACCAGGTCAGGATAGCACAGACCCTGTCAATGGCACATCTGTCCGGACTGACCAATTACCACAGCACAATACGGGCGCACAAAGCACAACACTTGCGGTCCTGTCGGGTCAGATTAACACAGATTCTTTGACCGGCACACCGGCCACGGTCGACCAACTGACAAATTGGATAGCCAAAATCACTCTCAATCATTAAAAATCCGACAAAACATGGTCGCAGTCGACCGATAGGAATGAACAGGCTCCTTCGTTTCGACTACCTGCTAAATATAGCACAGGGAATACGGAATATAGTCCCCACAGATAAACACCAGCCGTTCAGTAAGGTTCCCCCCACTTCGTTGCCCCAAGGGACAAAGCAAACCACCACAGGCTACGAAGGGAGGCAGCAACTGTGCATTGACCAGCAAGTGAAGGCCCAGCCTAGCCTGCAGGCTGGTGTCCCGCCCGGCCTGCAGGCTGGTGTCCCGCCCGACGGGGTAGGGATAACAGAAGGGGAAGAGGGGTAGGCATACGAAAGAGGTGGGCAGTGACTCCCGTACATTCAGAAGGACGGGCCGCCTCACAGCCCACAACAGAAAGTCCTAACGCGAACCACACCAACCAAAGAAGGGGGACAACAAAAGAGTGCGGACCAACAAAGGAGAGCCCTGACCAGTCCAGGGGTAGGGGCCCCGACTGGTGATGCAGCAATAAAACAGCCCGGTCAGGGGGAGAGGGGGTGTGCACATGAAATGAACTATCAAAACGAAAGAACGGTCGGGCCTGACGATCGCAACAGGCAGCACATCCCGCGTTCGCAGGTGGATGCCCCTTCGGCGCAGTTACTGGGTGACACACTGGGACACCAAAAGCAAGAGGCCACCCACAGAAACATAAACTGCACACCGAAATACCGACAAATGCTCAAAGAACAGGAACAAGCTGAAGCAGAACTGCGAGAAGCAATAACCCGGGGTCGAGCTAACCGAATGAGCCACCCTCAAATGGATATCATAATTCACGACATCTCTTCGAAGACAGACCAGGATTCGGACTGCGATCCAGACTCGGACTCGGAAGCAGCTATGACCGACGTGGAGGAAAACGATCTAGGCCAAACGTACGATTCCCAACACGCAGCCCTAATAGGAGAGCAGCAAGCCCTGTTTCACCTCCTCGCAACACAACAAACGAAGGAGATGCAAGACCAACAGGAAAGATTGAGACAGAACCATCTGCTGCAGCAGTTACTCGACGCCCAACAAGGTACTCAAAAACAAAGAGAGATTTTGGGCCAGCTAGAATCGAAAGAACATCAGCAGACAATGCTGGAGGGACAATACCGGCAACCATATACACAAGGGTATTTTGCCCAACTCCCCCCTTTCCAAACGGGAGTCCCCCCCAACCCCCAGCAAGACTACTCTGCTCACATGCTCATCCACCACGATGGGGCAGTCCCTCATCAAACCATGCAAACAATGGAGACAGTACCATTGGTAAACTTGCACCCCCCTGAAGGAATTCATCCGGGACAGGATCACACTATGGGACAAGAGGCGCAAGTCACGCAGCAACACCTGAACATAGAGGGTGTGCATCCAGCAATGGACCTGGTCATGGAGTCAACCCACACAGATGAAAAGACCACTGAAAATGACAAGAGTACAGTGTTGACACGAGAGAAGCATGTACGGTCACACTTGAAGCTCCTTACAGATTGGATATTACAGAACTCCCTCGCACCGACAGGTAGGTCCCTAAATGAATTTATTCCACCTCTGCAGTGGGAACAGATCCGTAGGAAGATCCTAGCAAAACACGATCTCAAACAAGCAGTTAATCAATATCGCAGGATCGATGAGATAGACTGGGGACATGTGGCCAAAGTAATAATCAAAATAGTCACTACATTGTTGGGGGAGCTCAACCACCGGATGGAGGCCAGCGCATCCACCACGCAGATAATCACAACCATGAGCGAAATAGAAAGGAAAAAGTCGCACACAAACGATGATCTGTTCTAGCCTCAAAGACATTGGGACCGTCCTCCGCAGTGGCAATCAGGGGGGACAGATGGTTCAGGTCCTTCCCCCCGTTATACACAGGATACCGCAGGGCCTGCTCACTCCTTCCCACCATTGGATCGGTGACGGTAACAGAGCTATCACCAATGGCAGCCCACGTGATAGATCTGCTCAAGGATGTGGAAAGGGAAAACAGACAACAAGACAGCCAGTCAGAGGATAGCGATGACTCGGAGGGAGAAGAGGTGAACGTAGTATCCGTGTAGAAGGGGGCACAAATGAGAAACCTCGAGTTGATAAAAAAATGAATACGGACATGAATTGTATATTATATCGCCCTCCTCCTCCACCGCCCCACCACCCTCCCCCCCCACAACCGTGTGTTCCACCCCCGGTTAGACGGCCCCCGGTCTGGGCACGGAAGATAGCCAATGTGGACCTCGACATCAGAGCCATAAACGTGAACGGGCTGGCGCAGGCAACGATGGAAAAAAAAAGACACGATTTGGAAAATGCTGAAGATGGAAGGGGCCAGAACATGGCCAGATGCAATATGTGTGCAGGAGACCCACTTAACACACTCACCAGTGCACACAGCTAAAGGAAAATGGTTGTGGTCGTACACGTCCTTTTCAACACCGGCCATATCCGGAGCATCCACAGGCGTGGCGATTTGGCTCCCTCCCTCGTCCAGACTGACTCCTACACACCACGAATGTGACCAGCAAGAGGGACGTTGGGTCTTACTGAGGGCTAAACTGCGGGACAAAGAAATAGGTATTGTCAGCATTTACGGCCCAAATGACCCGCTAGACAGAGTGCAGTTTCTTAATAGGCTGCAACAAGAACTGCCCTCGGGCTTGCCTCTTATTTTGACAGGTGACTTTAACATAACCCCTGACCCGCTGATGGATAGGAGGTCCTCCTCCGCGGGCCAAAGCCAGGAGCAAGTTCGTGAAAGATGGTCCCCAGATGTGGACATGCTGACACAGTTCATGGCAACCTTACAGCTGAAGGACGCCTATAGAATTCTACACCCGTCCAAGCGTGCATACACCTGTGTTAGATCTAAAGGAACAGCGGGAAGATCAAACTTTAGAATTGATTTCTTCCTCATCTCCGAGGAGTTGACAGGGACCCTGACAGTGGCGGACGTCATGGCATTTAGTGCTTGTAAATCGTTCGACCATAGGGGTATAGTGATGGGCTTGTCTTTTCAAACCCAAATACAAAAAGGGTCAAGTTTCTACAAATTTAATGCTGCGCTGCTCAAACTCTCAGCCCTAAAAACTCTGGTTCGAGAATTCTGGGATTACTGGATGTCCACGCATGAAAGGGCCGCATCAAAAGTGCACTGGTTCAATGAGGGGGTAGCACAATTGAGAGATAAAATAAAAAAATTCTCTATCTCCCACGCACAAGAACGCAAGGCGGTATTAGACAACCTTCTGCACGAATTAGAAAACTGGGATAGGGAGCTACAATCAGCCCCCCTGGATGACACAGCCTACCATAGGCTGCAAGCGGCAAGGGACCATCTACAATCCTATCTGGATGACCAGGCAGAAGCATGGCGCATTCACGCACAAATAAGGAAACAAGACACAGATGGGACAATGGCAAAGGCATTCTTCCAGGAAGGCTAAAGCAAGAGCAAGGCAGGCGGCAATAGCATCGCTTCGCCACCCCTTCGACCATTCTCTACCAAAAGCGAATAATGCATACACTGTGGTAGACTATGCTGCACAGTTTTATCAGAAGTTGTACGCCTCAGAGTCACATCGATGGGGACCAAGACATGTGGCAGAAACACGACACACGATGCTCGAACACCTCCCATCAATGCTGTCATCACAACAAAAACAACACCTTGAAGAGCCATTAACCATAGATGAGCTGTTAGAGGCTCTGAAAGGGATGGAGGACGAAAAGACCCCGGCATTGGACTCTTTTCCCAAAGAGTTCTGGCTCCAATACTGGAACATTTTTCAAGACAGCATAAAGATTTACGTAAATGCTGTCCAAAAGGAAGGAAGTTTTGGGGGTCTGATTAGCCAAGGAGTGACCACACCCTTGTACAAAAAAGGAGATAAGGAAGATATTCGTAACTATCGCCCGATCACACTTCTTCCCCTCCCATATAAGATGGTTTCCAAAGCCCTCACCAACCGATTACTCTTATTCATGAACCATCTCATATTCCAGGATCAGACTGGGTTTATGCCACAAAGAAACATACAAGATAATGTTCTCTTAGTAAATGAGACCATTAAGTACGCTAGGCAGCACCGTAAGGAAGCCGCAGTCCTGTTCATTGATTTCGAAAAAGCGTATGACCATGTGGACTGGGACTTCCTAGACTGTTGCCTAATCAAAATGAATTTTGGGGTCTGCTTCAGAGCGTGGGTATACATCATGCACAAATCAGCAACTACAAATATTATGGTCAACGGACACCTCTCCCCACCATTCCCACTGCAGAGATCGGTTAGGCAGGGAGACCCCGTGCCCCCCCTTCTCTTTGTATTGGTCATGGAGACACTAGTTGCAATAATCAGGAATAACTCGGC